CTGGTGTTATTAAGTTAAGATATACTTGTCAATAGTACATTTTGTAATATTGTTAAATTGTTCTTATAATTTTATATAATATTTCATATAATGTTATGAAGTATTATATAAAATTATTACATAATTTTAATGCTTAACTACTTATCTTTCACATAGTGAATGAAATAACTTATAAACATTAGCAATGGCAATATTATAAGGAAAATGTCACTATTTGTTTTCTTGCATTATTTCGTTCCATACATTGCATCATTCTCTACAATCATATTTTAGATGTACGCGTCACCTTCTGTGATTGTTTTTCTATTAGTTCATTTATCTATTTTATGTACTAACTTATAATATACTAATAAAAGATAATTAATCCGTACCAAAGTATATCTGTCCAAAATGATTTGGGGCAATGCTATGAATCTCAGATGTCAAAATCTTCATCTGTAAAAGGGAATTTAGTTTTGCTCAAAAAATTGGGGTACATTTATAATTTTTAAATACAGCTTAACTTAGGAATTTTTCACTTCTGGTATATTATGATAAAATATGAATACATAATTTGATTAATGCAGTTAATAATAAATTTTCTGTCTGTAATTTTTGTTAGATGAGCTTGTTTAAAAGATATTCTTAAAGTATTGTAAATATCACATTTGTTTGGACGATATATTTTATTTCTAGCAAACTTGTTAAAAATTGTAAAAAATAATTCTACACAATATAAAAGAAGAAAAGTTATTTAAAAAGTTTGAAATGGCTGTGCAAATTAATGTTGCAGTTATGTATGTCATGCATAAAGAGCAAACATACCTGAGGAAAAGCAGTGATTAGAGTCTTCGCTGCAATTGGTGTGCAAAATAAATTTGACAAAATGATATTTTCTTCAAGTACATTATGTTCTTTTAGGACAGCAATGGCTTTTATCACAGTATTTCCTGTACCTATTATTTAAGATAATTTACTAATATTGCCAGGTAATATATATAAAAACTTCAATCAAAAGTATCATTTAAAATGTGCTTACTCATTATTGGGTACATTAACAACACTTTTCTTTCAGATATATCATCTGGAAATTTTGCATAAACTACTTTGGCTTCATGTGTATCTGCATCACTTTCAACTAATATTTTTCCAATCCTTATGCTACGACAACAGTCTCTTAAACCCTAATAAGAATGATATAATTAACATAATGTGATAATTTTAGTGGCAAATAATAAAATTACACTATACCTGTTCCATGGCCTCTCCACTCCTTACTATGGATACTCCACAATTTCCTTTTTGGTATCTTAAACCATTGTATTTGGCTCCAGTTGGTGTAACTACCACACATTTGGAGAAAGGTAATTGATTTAAGCTTTCTTCAATCACCAGTCTTATCTGAAATTTTTAATCTGTCTAATCTTTTTTTTTTTGTAATTCTTTTTCTTGTAAATTAATACTTTGCAAAATACAAACCTACATTTGTATAAAAATTTTCACTTTATATAATTAATTTTATCCATAACAAATTTTGCACAATAATCCTTTTAATGGTACATAGAATTTGTATAAGGAACATCTAAATTTAGAGAAAGTGAATCAGAATCTAATGGAAGGTTAATTATAAAATTAATGTGAATTCGACAATTCTCGAAAAATATTTAAAAAAATTTGTTTAAACGTAGTTAACTGCATTTCGTTGATAATTCGTAGTACGAAAGAGCGATACACATTGCGAAACATGGCCACGGCTGGTGCCGCATTTTTTTTCATAGAGAACAAACGAACATTACTAAGTTCCTTATTCTTATTAAGCATATATATTTCTCTTGCAACATATATATTTTCACTCGAAAATACTTGAAATTAAGGGTAATTACTATGAAAGTAGATGACAATACGCGAAAGCGAATAATTAAATAAAAAAAGTAAGACTTACCAGGCGGTCGGCGTAGAACTTGAAGTCGCTCCTCGTGGTGTTTCTGTAAATGAATATGCATCGTGTCCATTAATTTGTTTAATCGGAAACAAACGATACAATAAGCCGGCATTTTAATACTAAAAAAAACTATTCATATATGCCAAATCGGACTGATTTATACTCTGGTTTTACTTACTTGTCCCGCAATATAGTTTGCAATTCTTTCACTTGATTACTGCACGGGAGGATTTTTAAGTTGAGTCCATAAACTTCATTAAGGTCGTTGCTCTCATTTGATTTCTTTGGAGTTGCAGTTACCGCCGTGCTACCCATGTCTGATATCTTACAAGAATACACTACTTGCCGAGACGTAGAGCAAATGTTCCGTACTACTAAAGCAGATAAAAATCAGCAGACACAACTGCCATTAACGAGTTAGCCACTAGAGATTTCACTTTACATTGCAATTCTAATAATGCTAGAGAGAAAAATGACTTACTGTAGCAACCCCCCATTTCCGGGTGTTCGAGAAGTTACGGGACACCCTGTATAAACTAAATCTTGATTGGGTATAGCATGTACTAGTGGTTTAGTTTTAGAAGCACTTTTAGTGAAAATGGAATATAAAATGTCTCTAGACAGAGCGCCGAATTTTCCAATACTTGAGTAGCCGAAAATTTTATATCAACATAGACGATGTATAGAATAGATTTATCATCTTATGGGATTTGGTGTTACATGATTTATGATACCGAAAGTGAAAAAAATCGAAAGTTTTGTTATGCCATCTACGATTTAGAACGGTGGATTTAGGTATTATATTCAGACCGACTATCAAAGCTGGCAAAGTTAATAGATTTAAGAAAAATCTCTTCTGTTTCATCACAAACAAATAAGTTTATTCAAATAAAATTTTGGGTTTCTTGAACTTGAACTTATGCATAATGCATAATGCGTGAAGAACGTGAGAACGCAACGTGAGAAAGTGAAACAAATTATACGTGGCATGTTTAGAATAGACGGTTTCTCTTATTAAAAATATTAAATTCATCAATGGAACCCGATTTTGAATAATTGATTATCGCGTTATTTAATTGCAATTTCTACCGCCCTAGTGGCGTTGTAATATTATTCCTTTATCAACCGATAATGTCGTATGTGACACAAAAATGGTAACTTTGACCACTCAGTCTCCGGGCCATGTAATGCGATGTTAGGTCTATCTTATATTTTGTCTGTGGTATCAAGAACAAAGAGCGTTAATGATTTAAAGCGATTATTTAGAATAAGAAAGTTTACTATGTCTCATCCTTACGGGTCCTTTTCTGCACAAGGAACGTATACAAGACACAACAAATATGGTAATTAATATTATTTAAAAACTGTCGCAGTGCAATTTTATCCATATAATTGTTTCGGCTTTTTAGAATTATATTCTGCATATAGTATGTTATTTTGCTATAAAAATTTGACAGTATGTGACACATTATAGCTTAACATGCTCCGCTATATAAATTTTATAAAAATCTTACAATTATTCAAGTTACATTTTTCAACTTAATGCTAAAAAAATCATATAGTTAATGATAATTTTGCATAGCTTTTATCAATATTTTACAATTACAACAATTTATCTTATAACTGATATTTAGGAGATAGAGCAGAAAGTTCCCAATCTGGAGGTTCACGTGTTGAACATACTGGTCGTACAAGAGGTAGAGGACAAGGTCATCCACCTTGGTTGAAGGGTAGAAATATAGGGCTCTACTATAGGGATAAGGCCAGAGGAAAGACTAAGCGAATGGAAAATAGAGTTATAAAATTACCTCTATGTGTTCAAGAAAAGATTGAAAGTGTGTTGGAGAACTCTATAGAGTATTATGATAGTCTATATAATAATGATGCATATGCAAAACATACAAATAGCAAACTAGAGAAAAAATATGTGCATATTCATGACTCTCAATTTAAGAGAAAATTTTTGAACATTGTATCAGGCAATATACAAGAGAAGCTTGCTAAAGCTTTGCTTGTTGAGTCAAGATTAGAAAGGGACAGTGATTTAGATGATATGTTATTAAAGGAATATAAGGCAAAACAATCTTTACAAGAATATGAGAAAATGATGAAATTTAGAATAAAATTACCATCATATGAGAAAAGATCAGAGATACTAGAACTACTAGAAGAAAATCAAGTAGTTGTTATAAGTGGAGAGACTGGTAAGGTTTTATTCAAGTTTTATGTAGATAAAATAAATAGTTTTAAATAATATATGATTAGGCATATTTGTATTATTATCTGTACATTTAATGAATGTATTGTGTAATATAAATATGTTCATAAGCTTTTGGATGGGTTCTTAGATATAGTTATTATATAGATGTATTTCAGGTTGTGGAAAAACAACACAAGTTGCTCAATTCATATTAGATGACCAAATAGAGCAAGGTAATGGTAGTACTACACGAATTATTTGCACTCAACCCAGGAGGATATCAGCCATATCTGTTGCTGAGAGGGTTGCTGCTGAGAGAGTGGAAAAGCTTGGTAAATCTGTTGGTTTTGAAATCAGGCTTGAAAAGTATGTTATCATTATCGTTTTTTTAATTTACCTGGAAAAAAATATTACATGTTTTTTCTTCATATGTAGAGTACTACCAAGAAATAGGGGCAGTATATTATTTTGTACTACTGGGATGTTATTACAATTTTTGCAAGGTGATCCAGCCTTGAAAGAATTTTCTCATATTATATTAGATGAAATTCACGAAAGATCTACAGAAAGTGACTTTATTCTTGCTCTGCTGAAACTCATTATCCCTAGAGTACGTTTAGTTTTATTGAAAATAAATATACATGTTGACTTCTTTATGTAAAATAAATATAATTTTTTAGAGACCCGATATGAAAGTTTTATTAATGAGTGCAACACTTAATTCCGAAAGATTTTCGGAATATTACAATGGTTGTCCGATTATTCATATTCCAGGTTTTGTTTATCCGGTCGAAGAATTTTATTTGGAGGACATTCTAAAGTTTACAGGGTAAGTTTGTTCATTCAAAATAATGTGAGAAAAGTATTGTAGTATAATTTAAATTACAGATTTAAATTTCCCGAGGTAGCTCCGTTACCACAAAATTATAAAAAGTATACAAAAAAATATAAAGAAGTGCAACAAAAAAGGGATGAATTTCACGATGTTATAGATCCTCATATACGGCAGCTTATAGCAGAGGCAAGTGCTATCATTGTTTTATTATCTCTGTTATATTTATTATTTTATTATTTTTCTCACATATTATATTACAGAAAAAATACGCGAGACAAGAAATTGATCAATTGCGAAATCCACATAGTGAAATGATGTCTCTTGAACTTATAGAAGAATTAATTAGATATATCTGTAGAGCAAACGGTCCTGGAGCAATCTTAGTTTTTCTTCCTGGTATGATGGACATAATAAAGTTACACAGAATGATGTTGGACAGCGAACGGTATCCACAAAGTAAGTACATTTAATATGGTGTATTACATACTGAGCAGTTTTTTAATAATTTTACGGTTAAAAAATTTGTTTTATACATAGGTCAATATGTTATTTATCCTCTTCATTCACGTATGCCAACAATCGACCAAAAAGCTATATTTAAAGAACCACCTCAAGGAGTTCGGAAAATAATAATCGCAACTTCTATAGCTGAAACCTCTATAACTATTGAAGATGTAGTGTATGTTGTTGATTCTGGGAAAACTAAATTTAGTAAATTTGATGTTCAGAAAAATATTCAGACTTTAGAACCTGAATGGGTATCATTAGCTAATGCTCAACAACGAAAAGGTAGGGCAGGCAGGTAAGACTTATTTGAAATAAATAGAACATATTTAAAATAAAGACTTATTTATCTTAACAATTTATCAAAATTGTTTGAAAAATTTATTTGTCATTTAAGGTAGCTATTTTAATAGTCATACATTATATTTTTTCTTAGAGTAAAACCTGGTGTCTGTTATCACTTGTACTCGAGAGGTAGGGAAATGACTTTTGACAAATATCCGTTACCCGAAATGTTAAGGACACGTCTGGAAGAAGTTATTTTACAAATAAAAATTCTGCAGTTGGGCAAATCCAAAGCTTTTCTGTCGAGTGTTATGGATCCTCCAAATGTAAAAGCTATAGATCTGTCTTTAGAGTTACTCAGATCTCTGAATGCATTAGATAATGATGAGAATTTGACTCCCTTAGGATACCATTTAGCTCAATTGCCACTCGATCCTCGAACGGGTAACATTTTCATTTGTTAATTCTAATCTTGTATAATTTTTCAACAACAATTTTTTGTAATAAACAGTTTAATTTTTATTTTTATTAGGAAAAATGATTATATGGGGAGCATTGTTTTCGTGCGTAGAACCAGTTTTTGCAATCGCAGCGAGTCTTAGTTTTAAAGATGCATTCTACTGTCCTCTCGGTAAAGAGGAGGAAGCAAGGCAAAGAAAACTCGAACTTAACCTGAATGAATTTAGCGATCATATCGCATTATCTGAAGCATTAATGAGATTTGAATATATGTACAAAAGGGGGAATGCAGGTTCTTTCTGTTGGGAGTACTTTCTTTCTTTCAATACGCTCAAACTTCTTTCCGAAATGAAGAGTCAATTCGCTCAACATTTATGTAAAATGAAATTCATGGAAACAGATAATCCTAGCGATATAAATGCCAACAAAAATTCTAAGAATGCAACGTTAGTGAAAGCAATAGTATGTGCTGTGATGTATCCCAACATTGCCGTTGTAAGGTGCGTACAATGTGAAAAATAATAACAAACAGTCGAAATAAAAACATGCGATAAGTGTTGTTTACTTTGTGTTTTTTAGAAGAGTTACAAAAACTGGAACACTTGCATGGACTCCAGAAGATGGTAGCGTGGCTATACATCCGTCTAGTGTAAACAATAAAATTAAGGATCTTCCTAGTCCATATATCACGTATTTTACAAAGCAACGATCGACAGCAATATATTTACACGTCACTACGTGCGTTACCGCAACCATTTTATTATTTGCCGCACCAAATATGATTATAAGTACGTGTTTTTTATCATTTATATCATTTACGTTGCTTGATATGTGTTCACTAACGTTTTCAATTTTTTTCAGAAAAAGGTGAAGGAAATTATTCTGTTGGCATAACGACTAGTGACACTGTTGCTTGCGATTCGCGAACTGCACAACTTATTCAGGTATGAAAATAGAAATATTTGCAATATAAAATTTATATGTATGTAAAGAGCCCCTATACTTATTTATTATTATCTAATTACAGAAATTACAAGAACAATTTAATAACATATTAGAGTATAAAACGACACATCCAGGAATAGTATCGTGGAATAGCTACGAAGGTGATCTACTAAAGTAAGTTTTATGTTTAAATATTCTTTCTTCTGTTTTATTTCTATAAGATACTAATGTTATTTGTTGGTCATAGTGCGATTATAGAACTGGTTTGCCAAAAAGATGAGGAAATGGGATTTTCTGATTCTGATGTACGAAAGGGTGTAGATAACGAGTATGACGACGCTTGAAGGCAGTTTAATACAATTTCATAAGTCATGTAATTACCTCGATAATTAGAAGTCATTTAATTCACTGCTTTAGAGTATAACAAAATAGTTCTAGTAATTTGAATGTTTCACTCCCTTTTTAATTATTTTAATAAATGGATCGTTAATATATTGAAATAAAATGATTGATTCGCTACAATTTTATCATAATTTTAATAGAAGAAGGAAATATATCAAGTGTGTAATATATTCAGAAAATAAAATTTTGAAGATAACACTGACAAAATACAATCGATCTCTCGAATTTAATTTTTAAATTCACTCGAATCCTGTTATTCCACGATTCATTTTGAATACAGAAAGTATGTCCAATATTTATAGAATATTACTCATTTTATGACATAAGTGAGTAATGGCATCACTGATGCGCCGTTGTATTAATATGTAAATCGTAGACTTCGAAAGGTTAGTGATCCGCGGAGGAAATGCTGTAATCGATACATCAGACATACTATGTATTTTCTTTATGCGACTACAATTCATCGCATTCTTTAATTCCACTTACGAACTCGACCTTTCACCCTCACACAATTTTTATTCATTCCGAATTAGAAATACAACGTAGAAATCGGTTGGATTGCAAAAGAAAAAAAAAACAATTATTTAGCAACGGAACTTCACTGACCATTTAAACGATAAGCGCGTCGTGTCATCGAACGTGTTTTTATCAGCTGTCGCTGGTTAATCTATATCGAACAAAAGCAGGAAGCTTCGGGCAACAAAAGATCCTGAATTTCGAGAATAAGTCCCTCTTTCTTTTACTCTCCTCGCGCTCTCTCCCCTCGCGCCAGTCACCCCCGCCGTTCTGGTCGTGCATTCGCGCGTCGCCAGTAAAAATGAACCTGGGGTCTGGCACGAGCTGATAGCCACCGCGGCGAGAAGTAAATAGGGGGAAGAGAAAGAGGAACGAGTGAGCAAGAGGGAGGGTGAACAGGAGGGACGTTCTGGCAATACACGAGCGAGGCACGTAGCGTCCGATTCAGTCTGCATCCGACCGCCGCGAGTGTCGCGTCGCGAAGCTGTGGTCGAACCTCGGGGGGGCACGAGACTCCGGTACAGAGAGTCAGTCCGTGGCGAGTGCGCGTGAATACGACACCGCGGTCCCTTATCCCGTGTCTAACCGTGCAACCCCTTCTTTCCTTTATTCGTATTTGTCTTTCTTCCCTCGAGTAGTGGAATCACGAACGAGAGAGAGGAAAAACCCGGTGAAAAATCGCTAGTCGCGTGCGTTGGTATTAGAGAGAGAAAGAGAGAGAGAGGGTCACTGAACGACTGTAGGAAGAGGGAGAGAGGGAAAAATAAAAGAGGGACAGAGAGGGATTTTCGTCGCGACGTATACATACGTATATACACGTGCGAAAGCGAGGAGAGACGTGAAACACGCGCGTGCGCACCCGCGTATCGTACACATATACATATACACGAGAGGCAGGGAGAGAGATATTGAGAGAGAGAGAGAGAGAGACAACGACGAAACGGCGCAGGAAGAGGCAAGAGAGCCAGTGACACCGGGAGGGTCGGGTGTTCCTCGTGCAAAACCGCCACCGGAATATATGTCGTGAGTGTGCGGCCGAAGATCCGCGGATAGAGGCCGGTGATAGTGCGTGCAGGGCTTTAAGGAAGGAAAAAAGGCAAAGACTCCGGGTGAAAAGCAATGCGGGTTCATTGACTGCGTGCCGCGCAATGGCCGCATGTTCGTGGCCGATGCACAGTGCATGTGTGACAGGAGCTACGAAGAGGACGACGCCGAGGACGACGAGGCCGAAGATACCGGCTACGGCCAACATCGAACTCGAGACCTACTGAACGTTCTCTTCGTGTTCCTCTGTGATCGAGGCTACGTACACACCTTGATCAGGGCTGCAACGCGGAACACTAGAATCTTTCCTGCTTTTTACGTGAGTACTTCTTCATAACACTACCTTCGAAAGCTGTACCTTTTTTTCCTTCTGTCGTCCGAAAGAAACATAATCGGTGAGCTAACCTTCCACTGCCATTCGTGCCTCAATAGATACATTCGAATCTCACGAAGTTTGGCACTTCGTGTTCTCGAGTATTTTCGATTCACGACAATCGAGATTCTCGAGAATACCACGCAGTTATCGCGACATGTATACGTGCCACTTTAGGAATCCTCGTTCGCAAGATGCTGCGATGCATTATGGCAGCGGCATCAACCGACCTAATTTTTTTTTCATCGCCTCCACGGTGCACGATAATTTTGTTTTCTCCTCCTTGTCACGCGGGTATTCGCTTTAAATGCGAGCTTCAGAGTGAACGTGTTTCGAGAGTATCAAGGGCGTAGGGTCATTCACTGCGACCGGTGTTTTCTCGTTCAAAGGTTGTTCGTACGTCAATGCCCTATTATAGGAAAATATCTTGATCGTGATCGGTGTGCGTCAATATTTTTTCTCTCGAGTATTTCTATCTTAGTTTTCGTTTCTTCGTTCTGTAGAAAAATGGTTTTTGTTCTTTACATGTCAACTTCACTTTTTTCCCCGATACTTCGCTCGGTCACGAAAGGAAATATACAGAATTTTTTTTCTGTAATACAATCCCGACCTCGGCTATGTTGTTAGTCAACAGAGTCAATTAAGAAATTCCAAGAAATTCCACCATAACATTGGAGAGTCAAGTCGAAAATATAAACAAATGTTCGCGAAAACGTTACTACGTAGCAAAGGACTTTACGCAAGACTCAACGAAACCAGATATTTTCTCATTAAAAATTAATTCCTTTACGCTCGAGGACGAGCAACCGAAGGACGCGTACGTCATTCTTGCAATGACCTTATCACCAATACGCTGACCTTACCTACCGTAGGTATTATAAACATCGTATTTTCGTAATAATACTTAATTGGGCGGTTGTCGCAGTGCAGCCAATCGTCTTCCAAAAAAAAAAAATACTTCCAAACACTGTTATTCAATGTTACCTTTGTAAAACAAAAAAAATGTATATAGCAGTTAATTCACGTTGAAACCTAACATTGACGAACATTATACGTATAATAATTATAACGGTAGATGAAAAAATAAAGAAAAAAGAAAAGAAACGACGGTGATCTCTAAGTTTTTTAAGCGTTCAATATTATAGGTCGTTCGTCTCGCTGTCTTAAAAAGAGTCAGCTCCATTTCGCCGCTTTGTTCGTTAAAGTTCACGAACCTTTCTAATTTCGTATCTAATCAACGAATGGTAGACTTTGCCACGAGTCGACAGCACCTTATCTTTCTGCTTGTTCTTTCTATAGCCACGGTGTACGTTTCTCGAAATTCGGATGAACTATTCGTGTCAAGAATAAATCCAGCCAAGGGAAAAGAAAGAAAAAGAAACATGTTCGAACAGTGACGCTTTTTCATTATAAAAATTCCTCGTTCGCGCGTCTTACTTTTCACGGTCAATATTTGCGGAATCGATAGTAACGATGAGGCAACGAAGTTACAAGGAAACACGTAGATCGCGCGGCGGCAGGACCATCCACCGCGTAATATTCACACGTTATTTCAAATTAGCCGTGTATTTGATTTCCGATGCTCGAAAACGCCGATTAGGCCGGACGGTTGTAGCGTTGAAAGGAACAACTTCGTTTTGGAACAAATCCAACGGGTTGACTTGTGTATTCTAATCAAGTAAATCAGGATAAGTACGTGTTTTTGCCCTGCTCACGCGTCCGATTCTGTGGTAATTAGCCGGCGTGAAGGCGGAAAAATTAAGTCACACCGCTACTACCTAGCATTGTCAAACGGCCGTTTGCATTGTTTATGTTTCCTTTGTCCGTGCCAAATTAGTTTTTCTCTGTACATTGTCATTCGCCTATTCTTATCTTGCCAACACCGCCTGCTAGTGGCGTTCTTTCTCTTTCCACTCTTCCCTACGCACGCTTAATTACATGGCAATTAGTTCATTCGTAGGGTTCAGCGTGTATGTCCCCTTCGTGTTTGCTGGAAACGAATGTCAGCAACATTTTCATCCTCTCATTGATTTGTGTCTGTTGTTTGAAATAACTAGGTTTACGGTTGTGAGGTTAGAGTTAATGTTTTAGAAAAATATTAAGGCGGACCTCGTTTAACCGCCGCTGTATTTCACTTGGAAATGAGACTTTACGTGAAATATTGATATTTCTTTTTTTTTTTCATATTTTTACTAGTTTATTGTCATTTAGATATACGAATTATATCAGGAAAAAGATGTATGGTTGTGAAAATATTTGCAAAAATATTGTTAATAATATCGAATAGAATTTATGCAAAAAGGCGGATTTTTATGTGACCGACGCGAAATGTGTTAAAAAATATGGAAGAATGTTTAGGTTTAGTGTAATTTATAAATATCAGGCACAGGATGATTAACCATTGAATATACGATGGTCATCAAAATTCGAAGTGGTAATCTCGCTCGTAGTTATCGACCGGTCGTGTTCATTGATCTCGCAGTTTAGCGGGCCGAGATCGTTGCACCCGTGACACGAAACGTACTATTCGCGACGAGATAATTGTTCTTAATCATCCTGGTATATTCTCATTGATAATACGCGTGTCACTAAATATATCTTGGGTTTTATTGAAAAGAAAAAAAAGAAATAAAACCACCAACGATACCGTTCCATTTCCTTTTGGTTCGCACGTCGAAAGCGTTGCCAACTTCTAATTTATTCGTTCGATGTAAAAAAATTCGAGCATACCGACCGCGTATACGTAAACAAACTATCAACGCCATACGAAAGCGATAAAGAAGAAAAATGATCAACTCGAATCATGCCAGTTACCTTATCTATTTTTCCATATTACATTTTTGTCAATTCTTCGACGTTTTATCTTCATTTCTAATTTTAGCATTTAAAAATGTCAATAAAGTTAAGCGATTAAACTGTGCATGTAGGTTATACGCGTAGAAATAAGGAAAAAAGATTATATAAGTATAGGTTTGAGAACGCTTTATTAAAAAGTTACTAGTAAGAACA